GCAGGCTTCTTCGCTGCATCCCCCTCGCCAGCCTCGGGTTGCGGCGGCCCCCCGCACCGCTGGAAAAGCTGCGCGAACTCCTTGAACGCCGCTGTCTCGAGCATGGCCTCGATCGCATCCTTGCCCTCAAAAGTCTGAACAGGAAGCTGCAGACCATCGCGGCGATCAGCATGCCTATGGTCCGCAACCAGTGGGGATGTCTTGATCCGCGTCCGCAGGCCCCCCGCCTCCAGCAGCACCTTATGCACCACTGCCTCGAGCTCGTCGCGCCCGGCAGTGGCCGCCGCGACGAGCGTCTCTTGCTCGCCCAACTTCTCCTGCAACTTCTTGAGCTCGAGTTTCTTCATGCCCGAGCGGTGCCCGAGGTCCGTGCGTTGGACGGCGTCGCTCTACAGCGCCTCAGGCTTCTGGCGAGTTTCTCAGAGTCACGTCTCCAGCTGACCGCGGGCCGCGGCCACGACGTCGCCCCCGCCCATCGCGGTCGCCTGCCCCAGGTCGACAGCCTGGGGCCCCAAGGCAGCATTGGTCTCTGGCGAGGCTGCCGCTGAAGCGCCCGCCGCCGCCGCCAGGGTGCCAGCGCCGCCTGCGCCTGCGCGCGCGGCCGTCGAGCCGCTCTCTAGCGCAGCGCCAGTTGGCGCCGCTTGCTCGCGCCCCGTGGTCGGAGACTTCTTGATGCACTGCGCGAGCTGCTGCTTGAGTTCAACCAGCTGCTACTCGAGCCCATCCTCTTCCAACTTCCCGCGGGCTCGAAGCCGCCGCCAGCGCCAGGATAATCACCGTCAGTAGCTCCTCGGCTAACGAAGCTCTTCGCCGTCTTGGACGCGCTCCGCCCACGCCTGCTGCGAACCCTGCGCGCCCCATTGCGTGTCCCGCCGCAAGCCTGACGGCCCCGCATGGGGGGCTTGGGGCCCTTGGCCGCACCATTCATCTGGCTGACCCCGCAGGGGCCGCGAACTGTGGGTTAGACCCCGAATGCCCAGAAACGCCGGGGCCAGAATGGCTGGAGGAGCAGGGGGCGAGGAGGAGGAGGAGGAGGAGGAGGAGGAGGAGGAGGATGGGGCGCGGGCCGGCGGGCCGCGGCGCCGATCAGAGCCCGTCGACCCCGCCGGGCAATCAGGCCAGCGGAGGCTCGCGCAGCCTCGCAACTGCCGCCGCGTTTTCCTGTGGGGCCCTCGGTGAGAGACGACAGGGCAGAGGCAGGGACAGGCGAGGAGAGCGAGAACGGCCACGGAGCCGAAAACACAGGAGAGCACGAGGAGCGAGGGACGCGGGACACAGGACAAGGAGAGGGGAGGGCAGGCAAGCAGCGCAGAGAGCAGAGGGGGGGGACGCGGTGGAGGAAGTCAATCAAGTAGCGAATGCTCAGCGGCGGGCCCCGCCGCGGCCCGTCCACTGGGCCTGGGGCGGCAAAGGCCTCGCGCGCGGGACAGCGCTGCTGAGCAGCATCGCAGCTGTGCCGCTCGCGACGGCCACGACCATGCGCTGCCTCGCGTCGGCGAGCGCAGCGGCCCTGGTCACGGGGTCCGTCGGGGCGCGCTCGCGCAGGACCGAATCAAACTCGCGCCCCAGGCGGCCGCCGCTCTCCACCACCGCGGCCTCCAGGCCAGGGCCAGGGCAACGGGGATATGCATCCTGGCCCCGGTCCCTGCCGCTGCGCCGGCGGCGCGGGCGCGCTGGCGCAAGGTCGCGCCATCGGCGGCGCCATCGGCGGCGATGGCCTCAGTCGAGCCCGTGTCGATGCACACGCGCCTGCCTGGGCACACAAGGACCACGTCGAGGACGGCTGCATCGGTGCCATCCGCGGCCACTGCTCAATCGTCACGGAATGAGAACCACGGCGCTTCCTGTCGCCCAGCTGGTCGCGGAGGCCGCGGTGGTAGCAGACGACTGCGTGCATGGCGTTGGGCTCTGCCGTGCTGGCCCAGCACTGCGCGCCCGTGGACGCGGCCGCGTTCTGGCACGGGGCGCCGCCCTAGCCCGTTGGGTCGAGGTACAGCAGGCGCCGCCGCAGCGTGATTGCGAACCCGTCGTCTCCCAGGAGGTGCTGTGGCGAGCGCGGCGGCTGCAGCACTGCTGCGCCAGTCCCGCCCTGGGACAGGAGGAGCTCCGCCTTGAGTTCGGAGAAGCGCGCGGGGGCCGCGAGCTGCTGCGTGTAGACACGCTGCTTGACCTGGCGCCGCGGGTCCTGCGGGACCAGGGCCCCGCCTGCCCGGAGGCGGGCATTTGCCTCCGCCGCAGCTGCCGTCAGCTTCGGCGTCGCGGCCTCTGCCTCCGCCAAGGTGGGCCTGTCCTGTCGCGCCCGCGCCGCGTCCTCATGGCGCGCCAGGACCCCAGCCAGGCCGCGTAGGCGCGGCGCTCCGCGGACCCGAAGCCGGCCCCCCTGCCGTTGCCAGCAAGATAAAAGGCCCTACGACCGTTTTCAGAAGAGGCCTGGGCCGACCAGGCGCTCGACCTGTGCCACCACCGCGTCGTCGAAGGAGCACCAGGCCCCCCGCGACGCGAGGCGGGCGCGCTGCAGGTGCATCACAGCGCCTGTGTGAGTCACGCGGGCGCGGAGGAGTGTAGAGCGGTGCTGCTTCTAAAGCCCCGCTGCTTCTAGCTTGGCGAGCGACTCTCCTTAGTCGGCGAGCCGCGCGGCTGAGGTGGCTGGGGAGATCTCGTCCAAAACATCTGCGGGCGCGTCCTTCCACTCCTCGTCGTCCACGTCGTGACGGGCCCTGACGAAGGTCACGGTGCTCCCCAAACACGGCAATGCGTCCACGACCCACGCCCCTGCCCCCTCGGGCAGCCCAGCGACCTGGCCGTCCCAGCACCAGGCCTTCGTCTTGCTCATGCTCAGCTCGAAGCCCAAGTCGGCCAAGAGAGCGCTTGCGGCTTCCAGCGCCCTGTGCAGGTGCGCCTTCGGCACCGTCAAGTAGGCGTCGTCGTCGTCCTGCTCCTCCTCCTTCTCCTCCTCCTCCTCCTCCTCCTCCTCCTCCTCCTCCTCCTCCTCCTCCTCCTCCTCCTCCTGCCCCTCCCTGGCTGCGGAGGAGGGTCCAATGAGCGCCTCCGAAACAGGAATGAAGGGCAAATCCAGAGGTCGGCTCCTCCACCAGAGACTTATGTCGCCACGGGCGGAGGCTCCAACCCCGGCCCGTGACCCGAGACGACCCGACCCCAGGAGCTGCCCCCTCACTCAGGACCTGCCTGGAAATCAGGTGGCAGCTTGCCCGATCCAGGGCGGGCCACCACACTTTCCCCAAAGACTGAGAGCCCAGGGATGCTGGGACGGTGACGCTCTGGACGGGACCCCAGATCCACCACACACTGGCACCAGAACACCCCCATCGCCTCCTCCTCCTCCTCCTCCTCCTCCTCATCCTCCTCCTCCTCCACCTCATGTCCCCCTTTCTGCGCCATCCGGGCCCCCCCCGTCGAAAACGGGTCGGCGCGGGCGACAAGGAGGAGTCGGGAGACCCGTTCTGAGCTGGCCGGGAGAGCCCAACCTCCAGGAGCCGCGAAAGCAAGCAAGACGTAATATGTGTGTGCCGTTGCTGCCTCCGCGGCCCGCTCTCTCCTCGGGTCGCCAGTGGTGGCCCTTGCATCATGGGCCCCTAGCTTTTCGATCCAGTCTGAAGCCTCTGGGGCGCTCTGCGCCTGATGAGGGGCGATCTAACAGCCGAGGCCTCCCTGGAACCCATGTTTAGTTATCTGCGATAGCGCTCGTGGCTGGCCCCAGCCCCCCATGAGAACCAGCCATTCCGAGGCATTCCCAGACGGCGCCAGCGCAACTCCCGACGGGACTGGCCACCTGCCCCCCCCCCCAGGTCAAACCCGTTATCGCCTGGGAGCAACTACATAAGCAAGCCATGCCCAGGGGGGAGGCTATTTTTCGCCACCCCTCACGAGGATCGTGGCCTCCGAGGGGGTGGCTGCAATCGACTACCCCCCCTCCTGCCCCAAGGGGCCCCCAAGAGCCCCCCAAGAGGCCCCGGGGGAGCCCAAGACGCCGCCGAGGAGCCCCAAGAGACCCCCAAGAGGCCCCCAAGAAGCCCCTAGGAGGCCCCAAAGAGGCCCCCGAGAGGCTTCAAAGAGGCCCCATAGAGCGCTCGAGGGCCGGCGGAAAGAGCGAAGCGATTCATGATCAATGAGCAAGCCATGCTTGCTTGTTTCGTCAAAGACAAATTGCACTAGTACGATATATATATATATACACATATATATATATATATATATATACATGTATATATATATATATATATATATATAGACACAGGAACATATGAGGAGGTCCTGGAAGCGCTGGGGTCGCACCCTGGGCCAGGGCCACCTCGGGCATGCCTTTTTGGGGAGTCCCAGCGCTGGCGAACGCCCCGCGCGGTCCCGGGCGGCAGCCCAGGACGCGGCAGACCGCAGAAGGGGTACGCGCAGGAGGCGCGGAGAGGGGCGGAGGCGGCCCGCGGGGGGGCGGCAGCAGCGGAGCGCGGGCGCCGGACGCGAAGAAGTCCACGAGCAGCACGTGCGCAGGCAGGCTCCCGGGGGGAGGCATCCGTCGCGGCGGGGATCGGCTGCAGAGCTGATGGTGTCCCGAATTGGTGTCCCGTGGAGTCTGCGAGGTAGACGTAGGATGCTCCGTAGATCTCAGGGGCTTCTACGTATTGTTTTTCGCAGACCCGACGGAGAAGTCAATGTCGGGGTAAATCGATGATGTAGTCGATCCCCTACTCGAATCCAGCCACCTCTGGGCCTCTGGGCCTCTGGGAACACCCGGCCACGAAGGCCGGCGGGGGGGGGCAGCAGGGGGTGGGAGCGAGGACTCGAGAGGAGGAGAACGGGGAGCATTAGAGAAGCATTCGAAGAGGATCAGAAGAGGAGTGTGAGGAGAAGGAGAAGGATAATCAAAAAAGAAAAAGAGGATGATAGGAGGGGGAGAATGAGAAGGAGGGGGACAAGGAGGGCGGTGTGATGAGAGGAGGAGGCGGGGGAGGGAAGGACGGGCGCGAAGGAGCGGGCAGAGGCGCAAGTCTTTGGACATCGCTGGGCCCTTCATCCGCAGGCAGCCCTTGATGAACTCCTGCAGGCGCGGGCGCGGGACCACCCAAAAAAGAGCTACGAGGAAGGGCGCCCGGCTGGGCAGTGGCACTGCCAGGACCTCCTCCTCCTCCTCCTCCTCATCATCATCATCAGCATCATCATCATCATCATCATCATCATCACCACCACCACCACCATCATCATCATCATCACATCATCATCATCATCATCATCATCATCATCATCATCATCATCATCATCATCATCATCATCATCATCATCATTATCCTCCTCCTCCTGCTCCTCCTCCTCCTCCTCCTCATTATCCTCCTCCTCCTCCTCAACCTCCTCCATTCTTTCCTTATAAACAACAAGATCACCCTATCGCACCCCGAGGCCAGTTTTTAGGGCGGGCCGGGCGTTTCGCCTGAGACTTTCTCACCACGTATGACTCTGAAGCTACAGAATGGCAACAGCTTCACAGGTAAAGGGCGCGTCGTTTTCAAAATGTGGCTCTCGCCTTGGAGCCGCGCACATTCGTTTTAAACATGTGCACGAGCTTCCCGGATTGAGGGCGGGTGGCTTTCAAAATGTGGCTTTAACCTTAGCGCCGCGCACAAACGATTTAAACAATTGCAAGAGTTTCACGGGTTGAGGGCGGGTGGTTTTCAAAATGTGGTTCTCGCCTTAGCGCCGCGCGCATTCGGTTTGAACATTTGCACGAGCTTCACGGATTGAGGGCGGTCCTTTTCAAAATGTAGCTCTCGCCTTGGCGCAGCGCACATTCGTTTTAAACAATTGCAAGAGTTTCACGGATTGAGGGCGGGTGGTTTTCAAAAAGGTGGTTCTCGCCTTAGCGCCGCGCACTTTCGTTTTAACCATTTGCAAGAGCTTCACTGGTTGAGGGCGGTTCCTTTTCAAAAGGTGGCTCTCACCTTAGCGCCGCGCACACTCGTCTTAAACACTTGCCAAAGTTTCACAGAACCCCATGGTCAACGTACCGAAAACGTGTTTGGGAAGGGTTCAGGATTATGCGGGTGCAACAATTCTGTTGGTTCGCGGTGCTGAAGTCCCGAGAGTGGCGTTCTGGCACGATCCCAGATCGTAAAGACGCAGCAGTCAGGTTTATCCGTGGCGTGGAAATCTCGAGAACAATGTGTTGGCACGTTTCAAGGTCTTCAAACGGTTGTCTTTCATCTATACAGTTCCCTCAAAGGAAATGAACCGTTGTAGAGGCGTATGATGAGGGAGCTTGGAGGGAGGGTTAACTCCAACATCGTTGATGACTCTTGTGCTTGCAAAGGTCATCCTCCTCCTCCTCCTCCGCCTCCGCCTCCACCTCCGCCTCCTCCTCCTCCTTCTCCTCCTTCCCCTCCCCCCCCGTCCCACTCCCCCCCCTCTCCCCCTCATCCCCCTCCTCCCCCTCCTGACCGTTCTCCCCCTCCTCCCCCTTCTCTCCCTTCTCTCCCTTCTCCCCTCCTCCCCCCCTCTCCCCCCCCTCCCCCCTCTCCACCCCTTGTCCTTATGAAGCACTCCTCCCTGTCGCATACCCAGACGCGTCGGCAGGGCGGGCGGGGAATGGTCGCCCGAGACTCCCGCACCAAGTTGTGACCCTGAAGCGCTTCCGGGACGGAGGGCGGGGCGGCTTCAGAATGTGGCTCTCACCTTCGCGCCGCGCGCATGCCTCCTAAAAGTGTGCAACAGCTCAGCGGAGGCAGGGCGGCTGGCGTTCAAAATGCGGCTGCCTCGCCGAAGCGCCGCGCACACTCGTTCCAGGGAAGGAAGGCGGGCAGTCCTCAAACATGTGTCTCTCGCCGTCGCACCGCGCACGTTCATATTCAAAGTCTGCAACGGCTTCGAGAATCCGCATGGTTGAAATCCCAGGAATTGTGTTTTGGCAAGAGTGAAGGTTCGCCGACGTTTGTCTTTAAATGGGGAAGTCGCCGCCATGGACAAAAATAGTGGAGACCTTTGAGGAGGGAGCTTGGATGAAAGGTTTACTGCAACATCGTTGATGCGTCTTGGGTTTACACTGGTCCTCCTCCTTCTCTCCCTCTCCTCCCCCCTCCTCCTCGTCCTTCTTCTCCTCCTCCTCCTCCTCCTCCTCCTCCTCCTCCTCATGATCAGCATCACCACCATCATGTCAACCTTCTCGTCTAATCATGTCTCTGACGATATCAGGAGGTATCCGCATGCTTCTGTAGGATGTGGTAAGAACATTCAGAAAAAAAAAAAAAAAAAAAAAAAACAAAAAAAAAAAAAAACAAAAAAAAAAAAAAAAAAAAAAAAAAAAAAAAAAAAAAAAAAAAAAAAAAAAAAAAAACGAAGATTGGAAACTAGATCCTCGCACGACGGCGTCGACGACAACGAAGACGACTACGAACAGGACGGCGACGCTGACGACGTCGGCGACGACGACGGCGAAGAAGAAGACAACGACGTCGACGGGTTGGCACGCCGCTGCCTCGATGGTCAGCTCCCCCGTGTTGTCGTAGTCAAGGAGCACGAAAACCTCCTTCGGGTTGTCCACCTCCGCGCGCGGCGAATCTCCCAAGCTTTGATCTCGAAGCGAGGAACGGGGGGAGGAGGAGGAGGAGGAGGAGGAGGAGGAGGAGGAGGAGGAGGAGGAGGAGGAGAGGGAGAGGCGGAGGGAGGAGAGGAGGAGGAGGAGCAGGAGGAGGAGGAGGAGGAGGAGGAGTAGGCGGGGGTCGACCCTCTCCCTCTCCCACCACCTCCTGGTGATCTGCGCAAAAGCTCCCGAAGACCTCCCGGGGACCCCTCGGAAGAGAGCTCCGGGGCCCCCATGGGCACCATTCCCCGAGGGCGCCTCCCGGGCCTCCGTCGCGGGGGGGACCGCCGCCACCACAGCCGCACAGGGGGCCTCCTTCGGGTCGGGCGAAAGGGGGGGATAGCAAAGGGGGGGTTTGAGAATCGCTCACGTAGCTGATTTTCCCGGCGCCTCCCGGCGCCGGAGGCGCCCATGTATCGAGGAATGGGCCCGGCGGCGGGGCCGAAACCAGCTACATGCAGCAAATTACCCCCCCCCTTTCCCAAACCCCCCCTTTCGCCCGACCCGACTCCTGGGCTAACAAAATGGGGCTCGCCGCCACGGCCGGATGCGATTCGAGATCCTGGCCAGCAGAAGGAGCGAAAATCGAGGAGGGAAGATGGAAGCGAGGCGACCTCCTTCGGGCGGTCCACCCTGGGGCGGCAGGGGCCCCAACCTCATCCTCTTCTCCCCAATCCTACTGCTGCTCTCCTCCCATCTCCTGCTCCTCCTCCTCCTCCTCCTCCTCCTCCTCCTCCTCCTCCTGCTCCTCCTCCTCCTCCTACTACTACTCCTCATCCTCCTCGGTATCCTCCTCATCATGCCCGTCGCCATCATCACAATAGTGATGGATGCCGTCGTCGCCGGTGTTGTCAACATCAGCATTTCTTCCTTCTCCTCCTCCTCATCATCATCAGCAGCAGCATCATCATCATCATCAACAGCATCGTCATAATCATCAGCATCAGCATCAGCATCATCAGCATCATCATCAGGCTCGGCATCATCAGCAGCATCAGCATCAACATCACCACCATAAATCATCATCATCATCAGCATCATCATCATCAATAACCTATTCATCACCATCATCATCAGCATCATCAACATCATTATCATCATTACCCTCATCATCAGCATCATCATCGTCAACGGCATCATCACCATGACAATTGCCATCATCGTAGCATCATCGTCACCCCCGGCACCTTCACAATCACAATCACCATCAGCATCGTCATCACCATCATCATCGTCATCATCAGCATCAGCATCATCATCAGCAACATCTTCATCAGCATCATCATCACCATTATCAATCAATATCATCATCAGCATCAGCATCATCAGCATCATCATGAGCAGCAGCAGCAGTATCATCATCAGCAGCAGCATCAGCATCATCGTCATCGTCATTGTCAGCATCAGCAGAAGGATCGTCACGACGTCACGTGGCGAATCTCCAACCTCCTCCGCCTCCTCCCATTCCCCCTCCTCCACCTCGCGCCGCTGAAGCAATTACTCCTCTTCCTCCCCCTCCGCCTTCTGCTCACCATCCTCAGCAAAGGGGTCCAGGGGGGCACAGATAATTCTACACAAACTAAAAAGAATCCCCAATGTGCGTCGATACTCCCTGCCCAGGCGCCTGCACCGCCCGGATCACTGATCAACAGGAGGAGGAGGAGGAGGAAGGGTGAAGGGAGACGAAAGATAATCACGATATCAGAGAGGGGCGAATGATGGGTGCTTGGAGGGGGGCTGCACATGTATACAGATACCTACATGCAACGTGCGTCTACTTATCTACCCATATGTATCTCTGTATGCACATACACATACACATACACATATACATAGGATTGCACTCTCTCTCTCTCTCTCTCGTTCTGCTTCTCTGTCTCAGCCTCGCTCTCCTTCTCTCTCGCCCTCCCTCTCGTCTACGCCTTTGGCCTTTTGCCCAGGATGTGGTTGCACGCCTAGGCCAAGAACCCGGCCCAACGACATCAGTACTGACACGCCTGGACGGCCGCAGCGAGGGCAAGGAGGAGGAGGAGGAGGAAAAGTGTAGGGAACGATCCTCAGCCAGACCAAAACTCCGATCAGGAACCCAGGTCGATCCTACACCACAGACTGAACAGAACCTTTACATGATTGATCGGCGCCGCTTGGAGAGAAACTGTCGAGTGTTGCCGCTGACGTCACTCGCTTATACCAAGCGCATGCAGTCCTGCGCACATCGCGTCCGAGGTGTTTCCTTCGCCTCCCCTCCTCCTCCTCCCCCTCCTCCGACCCATTCTCTTCAACCTCCGCCTACACTCGACCAGGATAGTAAGGATGCTCGGTAAGGATGCAAGGGCCTTGGGAACGCCATGCTGACGTTTTCCGTGCGAAGCGCAGCAGAATGCCGAGGGATGCCGAATACCGAAGGGGCAAGGATGCAAGGGTAGCCTTGGAAAATTGCCCCATCCTTACTAGCATGGTTGACTGTCACTTTCCCCCTCTCAAGCAGAGAGGCGCCACCGGGAAGTCAATCATCCTGAGCTTGTTGTAGATCTCGGGCTTGTTGATGGCCTCTTCGACCTGCCCCTCGCCGTCCCGAGCCGCGAGATAGGAGACTCCGAAGCGCGGCAACCTGCCGCGAGATCCGAAATGGCGAGCTGCAGGAGCAGTGCACCCCACAGCGCAGCAGTCCGCCAAAACGCCGGCTCCGCCCTCGCGGCGCCGCACGGGGCACCACGCCCAACGCTACCGCTCCCGGGGCACCAAAACGTGGCACAGAAACAAGAGACCACGGCTCGGCACGTCTGCGCAGCATGGGGCAAATGCAAAAAAACATGCCACCTCTTGGAAGCGCATGTTTATGAAGGGGCCCTGGGACACACAAATAAGCAAGCACAGATAACAGGATCCCCCATTTGTTTCCCATACTTTCTGGGGTTTGGTCTTCCCCCTGGCTTCCCATATTTTCCCGGGGATCGACGATTAATTGTGTCTGTGCTGTTGTTTCCCTCCTGAGTTTACTTCTGCCGCATTCCGCCGACCTCCTGCTGGCGGGCCAACCACGGTTTATGCTTCCGCTAGCTTCCGTCGGCCTTCCGCGGGCTTCCGCCAAGAGCGGGACGCGCCGAATGCGAAAGCCTTTCTGAAATTCGACAGACGGCACTGCGCTTGGCCACCACCGCAGATCTCGCAGCAATCCGCCAGCACGGTACGGCACGGCAGTGAGAGGACAGACGCCGCACCGCAGCGACATTGTGCAGCATGGGCACCTCACGCTCAGCACCACATGGTATCGCACGGAACCAGGAGGACGACGAGGAGGATAGGGCGACGAAATCTATACACATCCACTGCTCCCTGGCCAGGCCCATTCTGACCCAGCAGCGATGTACACGCCACGCCCTCCTGGCTTGGCAAACGGGCCGTATACACAGCTCCTGGGCCCAGGAGAGGCCAAGCCAGAGGACAGTGGATATTCGGGGGCGGCCAAGAGGGGGGTGTCCAAGAGGGGGGGGCGTAAGTCATGGCCGGCGACACGTGCGCGGCCCAGGGGGGAGGGGCCAGGGACGTACTGAAATAAGACGAGGCGCCATGAAATCTGGGGAGAGATCTTTGCCCCCGCCATGATATCCCCCCCCCTAGTCATCACCCCCCTCTTTGCCGCCCCCGAGACAGTGGATATGTATAGCTTTGGTCGCCCGGGAGGATGCAGTAGTGGGCCAACAAGCAGGAGCGCAGGCGCGGGCGGACCACGTGCCGCCGACAGGCGCCGCGCCCACGCGGGGCAGCATCCCACCGAGGACGAGGACCCGAGCACATCCGGAAGGCTTCTCAACGATGCTGCAGTGCACCCTCCCGTCCCGAGCTCCCTCCCCAGAGATCCGTGCAAATGCTCCTCTGCCACTTCTAGTGGGCAGAAAATCCACCCCCAGAATGATCACCCCGACAAGCGAAGCCGTTTAGCAAACGCACCCAGAGAAGGAATCGAACAGGGCGGGGCTGCTCAGTAAACGCCCAGCGCCGTTTAGCAAACGCCAGTCATCGGATCCGGGTGGTTTTCCCCCCTGGAACATCGGGGAGCCTCCAGCGAAATGAAGCGCAAAAGAGGTGCGGAGATACATTTCAAGCGAGTGTTCAACGACAAGTCTGCTGTTTTAGAAAATGATATGTCCTACATCCGTGCTCGTGTTGCACACGTCGAAAAACACTGCAGCTCAATCCGCCGAAGTCACAATCCGAGAGTATCATTGTGAAACGGACCACCCTCCATCTCTGCGACTATGACACAGTCTGGAACATCGGGCCACAGAACTTGAGGAACACGGGAGCCAGAGCCGCCCCTGTAACCCTTCAAGGACGAGCGCGCGCGGCGCTACAGCGAGACACCCTTCCACCCGTGAAACGGAGCGCCTGGCGCCATCGGCACCCTGGTGCGCACGACCGCCAAACGGCCTTGCAGCACAGATGGGCCCAAAAGCGGTGCGCAACATCGCATCGTGTGCAGAGTGGGCCGCGCGTGGGCGCTGCCGATCGTGTGCGCCGAGCGCCCGGGGAGGCTCTGGCCCTGCTGCTCGCGCGCAGCCTGCGTGCCCCGGGGCCCTTGGGCCCTGCAGCTCCCGCGGCGGGCTTTCCAGCGGCGCCCCCTCCCGAACCGTCGACCCCTCGTCCCCCCCCCCATCCCCGGGAACAAGGAAAGCGACACCACCACCACCACCACCACCACCACCACCACCACCACCACCACCAGGGACTCCCCGCGGGAGAAGCCAGGAGGGGGTCCCCTGGTGGTGTGGCTCCCCCTCCTCTCGCTCGAGACATCCCCGGCCCCTAGCCGGCTCGGGGGGGCATCGTGGACTAAGCTGCCCCGACACGCAACAAGCAACCCGTAGCGTGCTGACACGGAGCTCAACACGTAGACTGAAAACGTAGGTTTGGCGCGATGCGTTCGCCAAAACGTGGGCCAACACGCTGAGCCAACACGTAGCGCATTGACACGGACGTTATGAGCACGGCACGTGCTGGGTATCGAAACGAGCGCGTCAGGGCAGCTGAGATCGTGGACCTCCTCGCTGGAGGTGGCTCCCCTGGTGGTGGTGGTGGTGGTGCTGGTGGTGGTGGTGGTGGTGGTGGTGGTGGTGGTGGTGGTGGTGGTGGCTCCCCTGGTGGTGGTGGTGGTGGTGGTGGTGGTGGTGGTGGTGGTGGTGGTGGTGGTGGTGGTGGTGGTGGTGGTGGTGGTGGCGCTTCTCGTTCTCCCGACCCCCCTCCTTGCGAGGCGTGGATCCCTGGGAACCGACGCCCTGGGGACCCAGCGGGCGGTGGACGTGGGGCTAATTGGGCCCCTGGGGGGCCACAACTTATGCATATCCGCCGCCCGCCGCGGCCTCCGAGAATCGATCCTCGGGGCGGTGGCTGTATACACGCCTCCCGCCTCGGACGCCGTCCGCCCCGCGCCTCCCCGCCTCCCGCGCGCCGCGCGCCCTGCGCGCCGCGGCCGGGTGCGCGAGGGCGAGCGCGCGAGGGCGAGAGCGGGCGGCGGGGCCTCCTCCAGGGTCAGCGTGCCTCCGCCCGCCGCAGGGGGGGGGGAGGCCGCAGTGGCGGGAGGGAGGGCAAGGGGCCCCTGGCATGAGGTCGGGCATGTCCCCCCTACAGGGGGTTTTGTACGACAGAGAGAAAATCGTCAAAACTATTCTCTCTCACGCACACACACAAAAAAATGTTTTCCTGGTTTTGCATTTCCTCCTGCAGAGGGACGGGCCCGAGTGAACCCTAGCAGGGCCCAGCGGTCGGCGGCGAGCAAGGGGGGGGAAGTGAGGAGGAGAAGGCCTCGTCACAGGGCGGCGTGACTTCTAAGAAGCCCCCGCGCTCACAGAAAAAACTATACTGTGTCTTCGGGGAGCGCCTCAAACACTTCTCAAAAGGCTGGGAGGGCTTCCGAGCCTTCTGAGATGGCTCGCCCCTTCTTCTGTCTCCCCTGGTCTCGCGCCGAAGCGAGGCACCACAGACGTCAAACAAATTGACTAGCTACCAGACCACCCCAACCCAACCCGAAAACCCGAATTTTGGGCTGGGGGGATGGTAAGGGTTCCACGCGTGCTTTGTCGATGTTTCCCGACCCCCCCCCCCACTAGAAATCGAGGGTAAATCTGAGCCTGCGGGTTGGGTTGGGGTGGTTTGGTGGGTGGTGACAAATTGGCCAAGGACGAACGAGAGTCGCCGAAGCAGCGGGCTGGCAGCCCGCGGGCCGCCCGGGACCTTCGGTGCCATGCGCGCCACCCGGCCGGGAGGGGCCGGCGGCGGCCCTCGGCGGCGCCACCGCGCAGCACTCGGGGCCGGAGGGGGGCAGGCCAGCTCGAGGGGGTGAGCCTCCCAAACCAAGGAAGAGGGCTCGATGCCCGAGGTGGCTGGCCTGCTGTGCGGGCAAGGCTCGTGTCCACATCCACTGCAGTGTGAAGTCTCGGCCCCACTCCCCAGAAGGCCGAGGCGCCCTGGATAGGGGCAAACATCTGGCCCCCAGGGGTTCGATTTGTATCGATATCCAGTGCGCCTCGGCCTCGTGGCGCCCCTTCCAAGAAAGTCCATGACGCACTGGATATGGATGTAAACCTTGCCCGCCTTCTGTACAGACGGGCTCTGCGCGACGCAACTGCACACTCTCTCTGCTCGCAGCGCCGGCGGGCGCGAGCGCGACTGTGCCCAGCCGCCGGGCCGCGCCAGGCACGGGGCGCAAGGGAGCGGGCGGGAGAGTGGAAGAGCGTCGACGGCCGCGGAGGCGGAGGGGAGAAGCTCGCCATCGCTCGGACGTCCATTCCCTGTGATTTGTTTCGGTTTCGTGCGTGGTTTTTTCGCCAAATGATCAAGGATGCTCCTCCATTGTCCTCGCCGAAGGAAAAATGCACACGTCCGAGCGATGCCAAGGAAGGAGGCCTGGGTCGCCGAGGATCGGCGAAGAACGACGTCAGTGCACACGCACGAGCGCGTTTCTTCGTTTTCGGCGGTCATGGGCATTACCAGGGGGGGGGGGGCGGGAGGGGTATAATGTAACGCCTCCCCCCCGCCGTGCGCACGGCGGCAGTGCCCGGAGCGCACTGGGGGGGAAGGGCGCTACGTTACAGGGCGCGGTGGAGGGGGGGGGAGGGTAGGGGGCTGTAATACCCCTCATGCCCCAAGCAATGAAGGAACACGCTCCACGCAACCAAAACCGTAGATGGAGCAGGCGGCATGACGAGAGCACCGCTGGCTGGCAAGACTCGCAACCAGCCTGGCGTCCGCCAGGGTGGTTGGGCAGGCCACGGGCCCCCCGAAGGGCAGCAGGACGGGCAATGCCTGCGAGGGCAGGAACCGTCCTCCTTTTTTATTGTCCAGGGAGTACGGCGAGGGCATCGGCTAAGGCACTGCTCGATGAGGAATCGAAGGTTTGAAAGCTGATAGGTCACCACTTGATTTGTTCAATCTCAACACACCTGCCCAGCATTACAACAGGGAGGACGGCGCCTCCTCCCCGAGGGTTTCGGTCACGACAGCTTGCCCCACAGGCCCCCGCATACGCCAACAAAACGCGGATAATTTTGTACCGGCCGCGTGGCCGAGAAAACACCACTCGAGGGATGGCCAGGATGTCACCGTGGGCCCTTCATGTCATCACCGCGGCTCCACGCGTCCCCATCTGGGTCGACGTAGCGATCGGGGCCAGGCACCACCCACACAATTGGCAGCATGGAAGCTTGGAAGGCGGCCAAGGGGACCTTGATACGATGCCAGCCTTTGCCGGCAATGGCAAAGGAAGCTTCCAAACAAGCCCGCGGGCGTTCAAGGAGGAGCGGCATGTGGGTCAGCCTCGTCGCCAAAGCCTGCCCAAATCTCTTAATCTCTTGAACTAGACCTGCGCTGGATCGACCATCACCGCAAGTGAGACGGATGGCGGTCGTGGCGCATGTCCCCTGAAAGGATCACGAACAAACGTGCACCATGGGCCTGAAACGTGAGAACATGTTGAGAGAAAGTCCGTGTACCTCCGGGGGCCACATGGCATTCGAGTGGACGCTCGTGCAAAACATTTTGATCACATCTCTATTCGATGTTGTAAAACGAACCGGCTTCCAGGCAGCACGGCATCCATTGGCAACGCCCTGCTAGCGAACCTTGGTCACTCGCCGGGCGCCGAAGAAGGTGTCGTGTCCAAGTTCCTGAGCGTGTGGGGAACCCCCAAAGAGACCTACCGCCTCGGTGGCGATCACCAGCTGCTTGCAGGCTACCAAAAAGCAAGAAATAATGCGGCACGTATCCAGAGAAAGAGAGAGAGAGAGAGAACAGTTGTGCAGCTGGAGGCCGATACGAAACACACGCGAAATAATTAGAAATGCGAGGCTGAGCCTGCTGACACAAAGGGCAGCGAACTCCGTGGGCTCATGCAGGTACGCTCTAGCTGCTCCTACTTCTTCGCACCGCCTCCCCCTCCTCCTCCCCTTCCTGCTCCTCCTAGTCCTCCTCCTCCACCTTCTCCTGCTCCTCCTCCTCCTCCTCCTCCTCCTCCTCCTCCTCCTCCTCCTCCTCCTCCTCCTCCTCCCCCTGCTCCTGCTCCTCCTTCTCCTCCTCCTACTCCTTCTCCTCCTCCTCCTCCTCCTCCTCCTCACCCACTCACTCGCTGCATGTTCGAGCACACGCGGGCACCGCTGTTGTCCACGTCCGCCGCCTCGAAGATCTCGCGGAGCTGCGAGAATACCTGCGGGGCTACATGATTCCCTCGAGCCCCCCTTCCTCCACGCCTTGTGCCCTCCCCTTCCTGCCCTCCTCCTCCTCCTCCTCCTCCTCCTCCTCCTCCTCCTCCTCCTCCTCCTCCTCCTCCTCCTCCTCCTCCTCCTCCTCCTCCTCCTCCTCCTCCTCCTCCTCCTCCTCCTCCTCCTCCTCCTCCTCCTCTCCTCCTCCTCCTCCTCCTCCTCCTCCTTCCTCCTCCCTCCTCCTCCTCCTCCTCCTCCTCCTCCTCTCTCCTCCTCCTCCTCCCCATGTTCCTCCTCCTCATCATCATCCTCTTGCTCCTCCTCCTCCTCCTCCTCCTCCTCCTCCTCCTCCTCCTCCTCCTCCTCCTCCTCCTCCTCCTCCTCCTCCTCCTCCTCCATCCCTCTTCTCATGCCAGACTAACACGCACAAGCACATCTCGAGGGATCCCTTATCAGGGTGGTTGTGCCCCTCTCGGGGCAAAACCACGTTGCACGGGCTTCGAGGGCCAGCTTCTTTTGCATGTCGAGCCTGCATTGATCGAGCCATTCATGTGAAGGAGTTGCGCAGACTTGCGGGCGACCCCGAAACTGCTGGATCCGAAAATGTTGACGCATCCGCCTTCCGCCGTCGGACAAGCCGCCGTCCGCAAGCGAACCCGCCGCCGCCACCTTCCGCCGGCTTCCATCGAGGGCGAGGATGAGTGTATTCGCTACACTCGGACTCGTAGTTCTTATCATCTGTTGGCGCCCGCGGCCTTTGGGCCGCCATCGCGCGGCAGCGGGCCTTCCAGACTGAGGCCAGCCACCACCTAGGGGCGATCGCAGGGAATGGATCCCGCATTTGGCCTTACTCCTCCTCTTCCTCCTCCTCGTCTTCCTCCTCCTCCTCCCTCTCCTCCTTCTCCTCCTCCTCCTCCTCCTCCATTGCTCCTGCTTCGGGGACGCGCTAAACCCGGACAGCTCCAACCCAGATCAGCCAAGGCCATGTCGCAAGCGTAGGGGGAACGACAGGTGGGGACTGGCTCAGGGAGGAGGGGGGACACTGACTTGCAATCGGCCATACATCGACAACGGCCATACGTCGACAATAGATCGGCGAGAGCCCCTCGATTGCGATACCTCACGCTGCGGGGCAGGAGGGCCAAGGCCCCGATCGGCGACGAAGGGCCGAAGTGGGGTCGACGCTCCCCCCCCTGGGCCAGACCCCCGCCGAACGTCGCCCCCGACAGGCCCTGGGGCCAACCGGGGGATTGGCTGACCCCCCTGAGCGCGCAGGCGCTCATGGGGGTCAGCGCTCCCCCCCGGGGCCAGACCCCCCCCGCCTGACGTCGCCCCTGACAAGCCTGGGGCCAACCGGGGGATTGGCTGACCCCCCTGAGCGCTCAGGCGCCCACCCCCTCACCCCCAGGAGAGCCCCATAATCGAATCGATAGGTCGGATCGGCGATCGAAGTGAAACGGATCGGCGGATATCGGCAGCCGAGTCGGGAAAAGTCGAATCGGCGGAAATCGGCAGACTAGTACGCGTCCAATAAGAAATCAGAACCCACATCGGAATTCCAAGTCGAGTCGAATCGGAATCGGAAGCCATCGAAATCGAATCGAATCGAATCGGAGGAGTCGAAATGAGCCCTGCCACCCCCACTGCACGGGCACACACCGACATGGACTCAGGACCCGTGGATCTGGCGCGTGGGCGCCAGATCCACGGATCGGGCATCAAACCAAGTGCCGCCAGACGTGGCGACGGAGCGCGCCGCATTGCGCATGGCAACAGGACCCGTCGCCAATCCACGCGCCCTACGGTCAGGAACTTCTGCCTGGCGCGTCGGCGCGGCGGGCCCCGTGGCACGCCACGCCCTGCGAGCGGATGATAGCGTGTCGCTCCGCTCCGCGGGGTGGGCGGCTCGGAAAGGCTCGGGACGCTGGCGCTGGGCGGCCGGGAAATGGACGGCGTGTCGGGCCGAAACGTGGTGGGCCAGAACTGAAGGGGACCCAGGACACACACATAAATACGTACAAATAAAAGGTTGTCCCACACTTTCCCATAGTTTCTTGGTTTTTGTCTTCCCCCCCACTTCCCATCTTTTCCCATATCTTCTGGGGAGTCGACGATGAATTGTGTCTGTGTGTTTCTTTCCCTCCCGAAGAGCCAGCGGAGCGACACGCTGAGCCGACGTTTTTCCCGACCGTGAGCCACGTCTGCGTCTTCCTCGGCGCTGCGTGCGCCCCCGGGCCACCGCTGCTCCCCCCCGAGGGGCCCGCGGAGGGGCGCCAGCTGGCGGTCCCTGTCCTTCTTCCGCTTCTGCTCGCGCGAGTCCTGGCCGGCCGCCGGGCCGCGACCGTGCTTGGCGGCGCGCACAAGAGGGCAGGGGGAGGGGGGAAAGGCTTCTCAGAAGGAGGCTGCTTCTGAGAAGGCGCCGGCCTCACATCTACAGAGAGGGCCCGCGCCTTCTGAGAAGCAGGGGTGCTTCTGAGAGGCCTTCCCCCCTCCCCCTGCCCCCTTCTGCGCGTGGCCAGCGTGCGCGCGGCGACCCCGTCGCTCTCTGGCGGGCCGGCGGGCCCGAGGCCCCACCCGGGGGCCTCCGCGCGCTGCGGCCAGACACGAAACGCGGAGAGTGGCAGGGCGTCGGGCTGCGCGCGGACCTCAGCAGGCCTCCCGAGCAGCCCCAGCTGGCCTCAGCAGGCCTTTCGAGTGGTCCAGGCGGGCCTCGACGGGCCACCGAGTGGTCCAGCGGGCAGATGGTGCGCAACCCGAAGCCTCATCACGCGGAACATTCTGGGCGATGTCCGGCATCCGGCGGCCACGGGCCCTCCCCGGGCCCCGGGACCGCCAACAGACTTGCACAGGATGGAAAGCCCGGCCCAGGGAAGCGGTCTTAACATCCAGGGGTCCCTCCTCTTCATCCTCCTCCTCCTCCTCTTCCCTCCTCCTCCGCCCTCCTCCTCCTCCTCCTCCTACTCCTCCTCCTCCTCCGCCTCCTCCTCCTCCTCCTCCTCCTCCTCCTCCTCCTCCTCCTCCTCCTCCCCCTCCTCCCCTGCCCGCGTGCCTTGGCGCGCGCCCGTCTGCGATTCCCACACATAGGCCGAACTGCGAGTTGCGGCATGCGGTGTCCAAGGGCCCATGCCCGCACGATTGCTCGGTCGGCTGCGCATCACATAGCTCGGGGTACGGCATCCGTGGCATGTACTTTTTTCAACGAAGTAAAACTGGCGGAGATGATGCTGATGATGATGGTGGTGGTGAGGATGGTGTTGATGCTGATTATGATGCTGATAATGACGATGCTGATGATGCTGATGATGCTGATGGTGCTGATGATGATGATGATGATGATACGGGTGATGATAATAGTGATGGTGGTGATGATGACGAAGTTGATGATAGTGATCATGACGATAATGGTGGTGGTGATGATGCTGCTAATCATGATGTTGATCATGAGAATGATAGTGATGGTGATGATGACGGTGATGGTGATGGTGATGGTGATTAAGATGGTGATTCAGATGATGGTGATGGTGATTGTGATGGTGCTGATGATGATGAAATTGATGATTGTGATGATGATGATAATGGTAATCGTGTTGTTGATGGTGATGGTGATGGAGATGATGACCATGCTGGTGGTGATGGTGGTAGTGATGGTGATGGTGATGGTGATGATGATGCTGGTGATGATGATTGAGATGGTGATGATGAGGGGGAGGAGGAGAACAATGAATAAGCTCGAGCAGGAGGATGGCGCACGTCGCATGCGAACGCTGGATATTGAAAGCAATGGAGGGGTCGCTGGTCATGTACATGACCTGCTTGCAGGTGGCACTCTGACGCCCGAAGGCATGGATCCGTGGCATGCAATTGATGGCGCGGTGATCTGCCATTCGGAAACGCCCGACGCGCACTTGAAGCACCTGCTCTCACATTCCTCCAGCCTCTGCTGACTGTTCGAAGCACTACTGTCCGTGGCAGCCGTGCGGATCGCCCGCTCGACCACGACACCTGCGCGAGGCGATCTCAACAGACGCTTGCGAAGAAAGAGCGATGGGCGCAGAAAAGACTGGCAGAGGAGAAAGACAAGAGCCATGCACCGCAAGATAGGTATATTGGCAAAGAGAACTGTAACGAAACTCAATTCCTCCTCATTTTTTGAACGATCACCGCCACTTCAATTTACTATGGATGCCGCTGCAACTACTGCAGCTGTCACGGCTGCCCCTGATCCACTCCGGATGTCATAATAGGGGAGGGGGGGTCACAACCCGCACAGACAAGCAATTTCAGACCCCCATCGTCTGCTAATGTCTGTATAAGAAATACCCCCCCCGTGGCCCCGCTCAGACGAAGCGAGTCAGACCCCCACCCCTCGATGGCCACCATGTCGACTAGAACGGTAGACCTAACCCAGGACCTCGTCGAGTACACGCCACGCGACCAAAATGGGAGACACCCCTCCTGTAGCTTCGGGCCAAGAGTCCACTTATCCAGACTGCCATTGCTATTATTGTGCGCGCTCCCGATACGACCGTCGTGGTTACGAGTTGTACGACGACTGCTAACACCAGGACCATAACCACAAAATCATTCGATGGTTGGTGGCCTGTACCATTGCTTTCTAAACTATGTGCGTTAAGACGTCCAAGATAACGGCGATGCCGATGAGTGCCCGTCTGCTGCGTACATACTAACACATGGGTTAGGCTGCATGTTGATTCACACAAGGCGTTTGTGTAGGTCATCGCCCAAGTTATCGGGAGAGCTGGGTGCATCTCTTGACGCACCTGAAGGGCATATACATGTACATATGTATAGATGTATAAAACATTAGACATAAACTTATCCAAGAAGGGAGCCATGAACAAATGATCAAACATATAATGGCATAGCTGACCCCCCTCCCATCGGCCGCCATAACTGAGCTCTGTGTCTGGGACTCCCCCCTACGATTCTCTCCAGCAGAAGGGTACAACTGCCACCGCCACTACAATTACCAGTGCCACTACGGCCAGCAACTCTCGCTCAGCGTGTCGCCGTGGCGGCCCCAGCGACACGCCGTGCCCTGCAAGCGGATAGCCCGTTGCTCCGCTCCGCGGGGCGGGAGGCCGGGAAAGGTTCGGGACGCTGAGGCTTGGGGCCGCAACGCGGATAGCGTGTGGCGCCGAAGCGTGGTGGGCCAGAACCGGCGGATTCCCCGACCGTGCTACTGATATCTCTGGACCCGCTTTGGGGTCGTCGCGCGATGCCGCCAATGCGAGCAGGCCGAGCAGAGACCACGAGACGTCTCGCGTGGGAAAAGTGCGGGGAGGAGGAGGAGGAGGAGGAGGAGGAGGAGGAGGAGGAGGAGGAGGAGGAGGAGGAGGAGGAGGAGGAGGAGGAGGAGGAGGAGGAGGAGGAGGGAGGAGGAGGAGGAGGAGGAGGAGGAGGAGGAGGAGGAGGAGGAGGAGGAGGAGGAGAGGAGGAGGAGGAGGAGGAGGAGGAGGAGGAGGAGGAGGAGGAGGGGAAGGAGGAGGAGGAGAGGAGAGGAGGGGAGGAAGGGAGGAGGAGGAGGAGGAGGAGGAGGAGGGGGAGGAAGAGGAGAAGGAGGAGGAGGAGACACCTTCGAACAGTCGTGGGCCCCCTGGAGTGTTTCCGAATCTGCTCGATGTTCCTCCGGTCGATCCATCCATGCTTCGGGCTCCGCGGCGAGTTGGGTCCAAAACAGGCGGTCAAGCAGACGACGGGAGGCATCCGCTGCGAACTGAGGCACGGGGCCCGGGTGGGCAAAGGGCGAGGAGAGGGAACGCCGCAAAACAATGCGTGCATCAAGGCGCCGCCACTGGAAGGGAGAGAGCTGCGCGCCCTGGCTCCGCCAAAAGCCCGTTGCCCAGACGTTTTCCTGTGATATGCCCCCTGGTTGTCCCGCGGTCGTCCCGTGGTTATCCTGTGGTGTCCTGCCGCTTTCCCGTGGCTGTCCTGCGCTTGCCCCGTGGCTGTCCCGTGGCTGTCCCGTGGCGGTCCGCGTTTGCCTTGTGGTTGGCTTCTGGTTGCCCTGTGGTCGTGCAACGCTTGTCCTGCGGTTGCCCCGCGACTGTCCTGTGGACCATCCTTTGGTGCCCCGCGGCCGTCCTGCCGCGAGCAGAGCTGCAGCAGGAACAGACGTCGAGCAGGAGCAGGAGCGCCGCAGCCCGAACCACAAAGAAAAGCAGCTCGACGTAGACGCAGCGTGGTCGAACGCCCGGCCGCAGGCTGCACCCGTCCCGAGGTCTGCGCCCGAGAGCTGCAGACCGTCCCAGCGCTTCGGATCGCAAAGCCGGGAGCCGCACCCATCCCATCCCATCCCCCCACCCAGCCTCCATGTGACCCGAAGTGTGCACGTCGTTCCTTCCTCATCGTGCTCATTTCTATGTGTGCTCGGTTCTGACTGTTCCTGGACCCCTGGTGGCCAGGAAGAGGCCCAGGGTAGAACCATTAGAAATGAGAGGATCTTGGCCCCCAAGAAATTCAAAGAACTTTCGAATACTTAGAAACGAACAATGCGACCCAAGCGAACAGCGCCAACACTTTGGGCCATCGTGGGCGTCGGGTGGGCCATTTCGGGCCCCATCGGACCGCTAAAAGAACGACTTAGGGTACAATTTCCCAGGGACGTATCCAGCCCTTTCTACGCACATGGCGGCTATAATCAGAACCACTTAATTATGGAAGGATGCATGGACATATCTGCAGTCCCCCTGAACACATCGCCGAAGAACGCCTGGCACGCCCAACGCCATCCATGTACGCAGTAACTCTTACGATCCAGACCTTGCGTAAGACACCACACAACTGGACATCCCAGGAGCCCACGAAAGTGGCGACCGTTGCGCAGATCGCAGACCCGCAGGGAGGGCGAGGTCTAGTTCTGATCTGCGTAGGGCACCACTCCGCTGGACCTCCCAGGAGCCCACGAAAGTGGCGACAAGCGCTCAGATTGCAGCCCCCCTGGGGACAGCGAGGTCGAGTCTGTGCCTGCGTAGGATACCACTGCGCTGGCCGTCGCAAGAGCCCGCGAAAATGGCGACCGTTGCGCAACTATCAGACCCCCACGCTGACCATCCCAGGGGGTCACGGAATTGGCGGCAATCGCGCCATTCGCAGCCCCCCAAAGACCGCAGCCTGGGCCTGCGTAGGACACCACTGCACTGGCCGTTCCAAGAGCCCACGGCAGTGGCGACAGCTGCGTCGTCCGCCACCCCCCAGGGCGCCACGAGGTTTAGTCTGGGTCTGCGTGGGGCACCGCTCCCGTGGACCTCCCAGAAGCCCATGAAAGTGGCGACGATTGCGCAATTCGCAGCCACCCGGGGCCCCAGGGCGCCGCAAGGTCTAGCCTGGTTCTGCGTGGGGCCCCCACCCCGCGGGACCTGCCAAAAGCCCACGAAAGTGGCGACGGCTGCGAAGATCGCAGCCCCTCAGGGCGCCACGAAGTCGACAGAGGAGGACGACGACGAGGACGAGGAGGAGGAGGATGAGGAGGAGGAGGAGCAGGAGGAGGAGGAGGAGGAGCGCACGTCCCCAGAACAGCAGGTCAGACTAGAGACGGGATGGACGGGAAGGGCGGCGCGGGACGGGAGCGGAGGCGGAGGAGGAGGAGGAGGAGGAGGAGGAGGAGGAGTAGGAGCAGGAGGAGGAGGAGCAGGAGGAGGAGGAGGAGGAGACGGATGAGGAGGAGGAGGAGGAGGAGGAGGAGGAGGAGGAGCAGGATGAGGACAAGGAAAAGGCAAAAGAGGGATAGAAGGAGGGGGAGGGAGGAAGGAAGGAAGGAAGGAAGGAGTACAGACCACACTGCTCCGTTCAAAACGAGAATTCAACCAGAGGGAGGGCTGGGACAGAAGAACAAGAGATCATAACAGGCAAACAAACAACTAGATGAGCGCGGGCCCAGTTGCGTCTGCGCCCACGGAGGCCGCAGGTGGAAGTCTCCATGGCTACACGAGACGTCCGAGGGGGCTGCCGACATGGGCATCAACCTCCATCTCGTCATCACCATCAGTACCGTCCTCCGTATCACCCTCCTAGTAATCGTTGTCGTTTGCTCCGTCCCTGCCCTCCTTTTCCTGAACATCACTCACCTTGTACCCCTCCGCCCGTCCTCGTCCAGAGGAGGCGTGAAAGGGGGAGGAGTTATACGGCAGGGGAAAGAGAGAAGCAGAGGACGAGGAGGGGGCAGAGTCATATTAGCTATAATAGAAAAACGGCTACGATGAGACAGAACGGCATGCGTGAGAGCTCAGGAGAAGCTGACAGAGGGAGGCCGAAGCGGCTGAAACTGCCCAAGCACAGCAAATGCACAAAAACGCAACGACTCTTTGTCTTCGCGTCCTGCTCGCCCTTCTCTTCCTCCGCGGGCTCCCGCTCCTCCTCAGCCTCCTCCTTCCCTCCTTCTCCTCCTCCGTCCCTCCTCTCCTCCTCCTCCGCCTCCTCCTCTTCCACTTCCTCGTCCTCCTCGTCATCGTCATCATCACCATCACCATCATCGTCATCGCCATCAACAACATAATCGTCCTCATCAGCATCAGCATCAGCACCCGCACCAGCGCCAGAACCAGCACCAGCATCGTCATCATCATCTTCAGCAGCACCATCATCAGCCGCATCATCATGCGTATCATTAGCAGCAGCATCATAAGTATCGTCAGCGTCGTCACCATCAGCATCAGCATCAGCAGCATCATCGACATCAGCATCCGCATCAGCATCAGTATCAGCATCATCATCGTCATCATCATCATCATCACCATCATCATCATGATTTTCATTTTCATCATCATCATCATCATCATCATCATCATCATCATCATCATCATCCTCATCATCATCAGCAGCATTATCGGCATCATCATCGTCGTCGCCATCGTCAGCACCAGCATCATCATCAACATCAATGTTAACAACATCGTCAGCATCCTGGCCTCCGTCCTACCATCATCAGCATCGAACCAACAGCATCGCAGTCATCATCATAACCCCATACTAGCATCATCACCGCAACCACTATCATCTTCATTCCAATCACCACAGCCACGATCTGTATCATCATCACCAGCAGCATCATCATTATCTTCTTCAGCATCAGCATCACCATCATCAGCGCCCCCCACAACCACAACCACAACCACAACCATCCTCCTCAGCATCACCATCATCGCCGTACGAAGTGCCATCATCATCAATATCACCATCATCCTCATCATCATAATCTTCATCAGCATCATCATCATCAGCATCATCATCATCACCAGCATCATCGCATCACCATCATCATCATCATCAGCATCATCAGCATCATCATCAGCATCAGCAATCCCATCATCGGCATCAGCATCAGCACCAGTATCACCACCACCATCATCATCATGCTCACAATCAACAGCATTAGCATCATCATCACCATCATCGGCATGAGCATCCTCATCGGCATCATCATCATCGTCGCCGTCATCATCATCATCATCAGCATCAGCATCATCAACATCAACATCAACAACATCGTCATCACCCTGGTCGCCGTCCTATATCATCAGCATCAAATCAGCACCACCGCACTCGTCATCATCACACCCACCATCATCATCACCACAACCGATATCATCTCCATCCCCACTACCACAACCATGATCAGCATCATCATCAGCAGCAGCATCATCATCACCATCATCGGCACCCCCACAACCATAACCACCACAACCATTCTCCTCAGCATCAGCATCATCATCGCCATACAAAACGCCATCATCATCAACATCATCAGCAGCATCCTCAGCATCATCACAATCACCATCATCACCAACATCATCAGCGTCATTACCATCATCGTCATCAGCATCAGCAGCATCAGCATCATCACCATTATCATCACACCATCATCATGCCCACAATCACCATCATCAGCATCCTCATCAGCATCATCAGCATCAGCATCAATACCATCATCAGCATCATCAGCATCACCATCATCATCATCTTCACCATCATCGCCATCATTACCCCCTCCTGTCACGTGTGTTTGCAGGTCGGGCCTATCATGAGGTTCAGCACGCCGAAGGTCCCCAAGCAAATGAACGCAATGAAAAAGACGTACATCCCTGGCTGAACCTGACAAGGAGTGGCCACCAAAATGCTATACTCAACGAGCTCCCTCTTCAGTCTTGAAGAAACATCTTCCCGCTCTGTCTCTCACCACCTCGTCTTATGCTCGTTCGGGCATCCTGGGCAATCCATTCCACATTAAGCATCTCAGGGAACACACACAATGTGAATGTCCACACAGAGACAGGTCGACAAAATGACGGAGCATAGGAATGTAACAAGCCACGCGAGCGTCTGGCAAGTCGTACTGCCCTTGATCAATGGGACGGCCTGCAGGGGTTCTACCAGCGACCACGACGAAAACTACATACTGGCTCTTCGGTACGGAGGTGCTCACACGCGAAATCGCGATGCCGAGAGCAACCTGAAGGTGGGCAGCATTGATGATTCGACGCTTGAGGTAGAACTCACGATCAACGCGCCCTACCTTTTACCAGGCAACATTTGCGACGATAGCCAACAAAAACGCGCGTTGTGAACACCTGAAACAAAAGCGTGCACGCGTCGATCATATCGTTACCGTCTCTCCCTACTGGCCTCTGTCGTCAACGCCTCTGAGGCTGTCTCACAGCCGCCGAGGCGGCTCAAAGAGTGCCGACATCCTGCAGATGTGGATGTGGCTCTGGCTGGCATCAGAAGGCCCCAGGGCACCTAACATATATGTGTATATATACCAAAAAAAAAGCTCGCCAACCCACCTCCGCCCACAGGGGATCATACATGTGACCTTGTGCTCGATGATTCCAACTTCTCCTCTTATTCCGTCGCCACCCTCTCTCTCTCTCTCTATCCTCATATCTGATGCTCTCATCCTCGCTCTCTTTCCCCCCCGTCCGTGTTCCTCGTATGCTTCGTCTCTCGGTAGCTGCTGCTACGGGTCCGATTGCAATCAGTAATCAAGCTTTGGGTGCCGCTCAAAATTACAACCCATATTTCAGCCAGCAGTCCACCTTCACCTACAGTTCACACCACAACTCCCACCACAGCCACTGATACAGATCCTGGTGCTGTGTCTATTATAGCTCTCCTACATATCCCCTTGCCTTGACTGTTCTTAAATATGCACTGGGTGTTTTTCAAAACTGTATGGTTTAACTCGGCGTGGTAAAAATTGTCTTAGCGATTATCGAGGTCCGAACCAGATTTGTCCCATGCCAACAAGAATGGTTCACTTGTCTCTTCCGTTTTGAACTTCTTTTGTTGAAAGCGTTTTCCAATCAGGTGATTGCGCTGTTAAGCATTGCCATCTACAACGTCCTCAACTCCTTGCGTCCACTCTCAGTTCCTTCTCCTTGCGCCCAGCCGCCCCAATCATTTAATGATAACAATGTTGCTCTTAACTGGTCGTCGCTGACGGCTGGCCGTAGGCCTCCAGGCCTATTCCGCGCCCGTTTCAGACCGGCGTTCTGGTTGTTTTGTCGGGGCAGTCTTCGCTCTGTGCTCGGCAAACGGAACAGGAGGAACGGGAGGCGGCAGGAACGGGAGAGCGGGAGCGAAGACGGCAGCGAAGACAAGGAGCAGCCTTTGACAAGAAAGCAAACAAGGCGAAACAACATTGGAAATCCATTTCGACGTGCCTGGTAACGCCTAAAACACGCTAGCGGATGCGGAACACGCAACGTTGTTGACCGCTTTGAGATTGTGCGGGGCCCAAACTACAAAAAATGAAAGAAAACAAAAAACAACAAAAACAATGGCGATTTCAAGAATAACCAAGCCCATTGCACAAACTTCCTTCCGTAACCAGCAGCGCAGCTCTGAGTACACAACTCTTACGACGCTTCCTTCTGCAATTCAAGACAGCACGCACTACATCTCTCATTGCAGTTCCTTCTGCAACCTGTATCACATCCAGCTGTACAACTCCCAAAGCTAACACTACAGCTCCGACAACAACTATCGATACAGTTCCTGGTACAACGCGTTTTGCAGTTCTACTACATTCCTGACGACAGTTCGCACTGCAAGCCCTACTCAAACTCCTACATCCAAATTGCTCCGCTCGTCCTAACGCAGCCCTGACATCATCTCCTACCACTGCCGATTTTACCGCTCGTACTAAAGCCAATAGGAAATTTCATATTACAGTAAGCAAAACATGTCGCACTATAGCTCATCTTGAAATTACTCCAACAGCTCCTATTCGTCGATAAACTACAGCTCCTATTGCAAAACCGACTACAAGAACCAGTACAGTTTCTGGTGCAAGTCTCCCCACAGCTCCTGTGATGAAAAATATTACACCTCCTGGTACATATCCACATGCAGCTCATACCGCAGCTACATACCTCTACATCCAATAATATACATTCCAATACAACTAATACGACAGAGCCTACAACGCATATTACGACAACTCCTACACAAAGTGCCCTTACACAACCATATCGTCCAAATCTCGTTTGAACTCGAACTAGAACCGGTAAAACGGTTTCCTTCACAGCTCTTACTGCAAAGCCCGTGCTTCTGTTCCTAGGAAAGGTCATACTCCATCTCCTGATACAACCAGAATTACAACGCCCCCACAGCTCTCACTACACTTATTAAACCAATGTGTGCGGCAGCTCCTGCTACGAGTCCTGTGACTGATGGTAATACAGATCGCAATATAGTTGTCAATGTAACTCATACTCGGACTCCTTATACAGCCCACGTCCCAGCAAGTACTGCAGCTCCCGCAGATCCCACTGCAGCCTACACCATAAATATTGTCAACATTCCTACTGCAATTTCTTCTACAGCGTGGCCATTCAATAAACGTTGCCGTCGTCTTCCACATGATCCTCTCCTCTCTTTCCCCAGCGCCTGCTGTCCAAGTCTGCCAATCGACTGATCAAGGTCTGCTGTCCAAGACTGGACACAGAGGGATCCATGATTAGGCTGCCCAAGAGAAAGGATGAGGATAAAGAGGAGGAGAGCAGGAGCAAGCAAGAGCAGGAACAGGAACAGGCAGGGAGGAGGGAGGAGGAGGAGCGGGGGAGGCCTCACAGGGCTCAAAAGGGGGAACCGTCTAGCGAGCGCGCCGGGGGCGGCCTTGCAAAAGGATTTCCCTTTGGTTAAACAATGCGGGGACTGTTTTCTGACGGGGACCTTGTGCGAAAGCACAGATACTCCTGATGCGTTTGAAGGTCTTGGTGAAGACCCCCCCTGGAAACACAAGGATGTCACATACGTGGTCGGGTTCGGTAGGGAAGCCGGGCAACAGAACACACAACAAGCAAAACACAAACTCGCATGTGCCAAGGTGTTCTGGGTACAGACGCGCTGCAGGGAAGTTGGGGGGCCGGGGGGAGGAGGGGCGCCCGCCCCCAGGCACAAAGGAGATATCTTGACGTGGCTGTGATCGTGCAAAAGGGGCCCTGGCCAAAGCCGACAAATTATGTATGGAGTATCTGTGAGTTCACCAGGGTTCCTTACCAAAACCTTCACACATTTTGGTCGGCGGGTCGAGAGCGGGCCTCTTCCGGTTAAGAGCTAGGCGGGGCGCGCAAAGCACTAATTGGGGAGACAGGGCGCGGGCGGGCGGGGCCTCAGGCGGCCGGATGGTGCGGGGTGCAGGCGGTGCCGAAGAGCTTGCACAGCAAAACCTTCACACATGCCTGGAATGCAAATGGCTTCATCCGTTGTCCTGCCTGGCGCATTGTCCCTGGGGGCGTCGAGGAGGAGCCAGAGCAGGAGGAGGAGGGGCGCCTGGCTCCAGAAAACATGAGCATGTTTTGAACTTCTGTGGTTACGACGGGTCTGCTTGCGAAAACCAAATAAGCATGCAGTATGTCTGTTTTCAGAAGGCTTCCTCACAGAACCATCCGACAAAACAGCCCGCGCAAGGCTTTTCTAAAGGAAATTTTTCTGACCGAATCGTTTGGCAAGGCCGCTCGCAACTGCAGAAGGAGAAGGGGAAGAGGAGGACGAGGAGACGAAGGGAGGAGAGGAGGATAATAAAAGAGAGAGAGAGAGAGGGAGAACGAGAGTGTGTGAGAGAAACAGAAAGTGAACGAGGAAGAAGACGAAGAAGAGGAAGAGGCTGCGCCCACATTGATGATGGTGGCCCATATGTATGATCAAGTGGGCCCACATGTATGAAGAGGCTGGGCCCACATTTATATGTGTACACATACAGATAATCCCATGTGCCAAGATGCCTAGCAGAGAGGCGAAGGCCAACGCAAAGAGGTTTTTGGGGGGGAAGAACGTAAGACGGGACAACCGTCGGGACAACCGTCTACATGCATCGAACCACGTCGACCGGTCTCAGAATCGATCGGCCTCACTATCCGCCGATGGATATCAGAACCAATCGGTCGAATTATCAACCTGTGTGTCAATCTAGCGTTCTAGCTATCTATCGAGCTCACTTCCTCTCCACCGATCGCACGATCTACATATATATAGAGAGAGAGGGAGAGAGAGAGAGAGAGAGACATACATATATCCCGTGCCGCCGGGCATTTTCTCGGGTCCTTTGCCCAGTCCCCCGAGCCTCGGCCCACAGTCCTGAGGAGTCCTGCAGAGGCCGGGAGCCCAACTTGCCAAAACTCCCGGGGCCTGACGCGGCTCCCCTGGGCTCCCCCGCACCTTGTCGCAGGACTTGTTCGGGCCCAAGGGGGCCCCAACACTGACCAAGATGGCCCCAGGAAGCCCCGAAGACGCTCCAAGAGGGCCCCAGGTCGCCGAACGATCGTTCAACGACGCTCAAGATGGCTCCCAGACGGCCCAGGACGGCCCGAGAGGCCTCCAAGACGCCCCCAGAGGCATCCAAGAGGCCTCCCAAGAGCACAATCATTAATCGTCCTAAGCTTTTTGCATGTTTTGAGCGTTCTCGCCTTTTCGGCTTCCCGACGCCCCCAGGCGGCCCTAGAGGCCCCCAAAGAGCGCCCCAAGACGGCCCAAGAGGACTCCAGGAGGGCCCCAAAACGGCCCAAGAGACGCCCAAGACTGCCCAAGAGGCGCCCGAGACAGCCCAAAAGGTCCCAAAGACGGCTCCAAGAGGGGACCCAGATAGGCGATCCGACTGGACATTTCGAGCCCTCGGCCCCGAGAAGCCCCCAGGAGGCCCCAAGAGGCCCCCAAGAGACCCACAAGAGGCTCCAGGAGGCAAGGCCGAGGAAGCCCCACGAGGCCTCCAAGAGGCTCCCAAGAGGCCCCAAAACTGCCCTCAAGGGGCCCACGAGAGCGCTCCGAAGAGAACCCCAAGTAGCATCCCTGAGAACTCTGACCCACAACCTAGGCACGGTGGCGGGATGGGCCGAAGGCCACTATACATACACACACACACACACCGATCACTATCTACACACCGATATCACTGTCTTTCTATCTATCGACCTCCACACGTCGACACAAACCATCGGGACAACCTCCGGGACAACCATCGGGACGACAATGTGAATAACAGCCTCCATCCGTGGACCCACCTTTACCGGTCTCACGACTTGTCGGCCACACTGCAGAACTGACGATCTCACCGTCTACAGGCCTCACGATAGTTCTGGATAGCTC